CGGGACGAAGTCTATCATGATCTAAGACTTAACTTTATTTCATGTTTTCAATAGGAAGACATATATACTGGATTACCTAGCTCTGACACACGTGACAGGGATTGTGTGAATAGCAGGCCAGAAGGAGTAAGTACATTTATTCATATATTTATTTATTGTATTCAACTTTGCATGTAAAAGTACTGTATCCATAGCAGCCAACATCAAATTCTGTAGAACTATGCACGAATTATGAATATGTCACGTATGTCCTATCTGTAAAATGTAAACGATAAGCCTCGGTCACAAATATATGCCATTACGAACTGCTACGAACGCCGTATGAATGATTTTCAGACAATGGAAATTCAGGAAGACAATGGGAGAAAAACAGGGAGATTCGTACGAAATTATCGTTCGTACGAACCTTTGTGACCGTAGCATTAGCAGTGTCCTAGTTTTCAAATTATGCAAGGAAACCCGTTTACTTTCTAAACGTCACTGTCAGACACTATTGGAGCATATTTTGTTTTGGCTCAAAAGGAGGGGGGTATGAGTGAGCAGTACTCATTCGATGAGAGTGTGTGTTTACGCTACGATACGTCATTAAAAAAAACGTCGTACATGTATAACGAAACGCGGGTCTTGGCATTGTTTCGAACTAGAACTCGGTAAAGAATCACAGAATGTTTTGTGTGTGGACGTATGGTCGGACTAGAACGGTTTAACTGGGCGGGGCTTTACACGACCCTGCGTGAAAGGAGACCTGACCTCTCATTTTCACTTCCGTTTCATGACCGCGGCGCGGCGTAGCGCAGTAGCAAACTGCACACCTACGTGACGTTTCGCTGTAGAGTTTCGGGATTACTTGTTCTTGCGTGTGGACGCCCTCTTCGCTTTACGATGATTCTTTTTTACGACGTTTCTTAATAGCGTTTCGGGATAATTTTGTCTGTGTGTGGACACGCTGTGAATATACAGAGTGCACTAACACTCATGTCGTGAAGAGCGCTGCCACATTTAACTTCTACCAGATCGAATCTTGTTTACAATTTGAATTGGTCTGTTTCTTATTTGGCTGACTTCTTCAACATTCCATACTTTTACTAAAAATTGTCTTGGCCTACATTTCTAAGGCAGAGAATGAGAGAGGGAGAATTACAAATTTCGCCATTTTCATGTTCTAACATGGCCATGAATAGCTTATTGAAAATATAAGATGGTAAAAAGTCGCACTATCGAAAGCTTCGAAATGTGGCGCCATGATATGCCCCCGGGGTATGTCCAGGATATACCTATATATATATATATAATACGATTGACGTCACACTAAACATCATGATTTCCTTTATTATCGTGGTGGGACAATAATATTGGCCAAACCCTCCACAGGGATTTTCGGACGTACGATTTAGTTAAATATATTTTACATCTAAGATGACATATTCCTTGTGGATGAGGGCATTATTAATTGATAATAATAATAATACTAATTGATTATTGTCAAGCGTTTTTACAGAATACAGATAAGAGCGCTGATACCTCAAAAAAGAATGTATTGGAACAATAACATTTACACTTATAGCACTTAGCAGTAGACATAATATTTCTTAATATACAAAGATTGGGCAATTACAATGTTCATAACAGTATAATAAAAGACAAGGACATTATAATAGCAATGGCATTTGAGATGTATATCACCTGTCCAGTTGAGAATCAGAGAGGTGTTAGTAATATTAACACATCTCTGACTCACAGCACCAACACGAACTTGATATAATGGCGATATGGGAAGAGTGTAATTTATTTAGTTTCTTTTTAAAAAGTTTCTTCTGTGTTAATAGGTGGAGAGTTGTGGTGGAGCATTCAATATAGCCGTTCATGCCTATGATAATGACAGTTCGAATGCCTTGGTGTTTGTGCGTGGGATTTTTAAAGTCATGTTTTATGTTCTGTTAACGGAGATGATTTTTGGAAAAAGAAGGGGTGATCAGTAGATCAGAGAGGTGTTTTAGAGAAGTATTCATCAAGCATTTATAGACCAAAAGTGCCAGTTTATCTTCAATGCGTTCTTTGGTTGGAAGCCAGTGTAATTGTTTTAACAACGGATATCTGGGTCCTCTCTTCTTTGCACCAAACACCAGACAAGCCCCTCTAGTTGGGATTTTCTGGAGCTTTTTCTCAGGTGGCAGTTTGCTATCTGGCACACTTTTTACAAACATAGTCTAACATTGACAGTGTCTCGTTAAAATGAACACATATATTTTTAACATTAGAAGTTACAACGCCAGTGGTGTTTTCAATCTATCATGATCTAAGGCTTAACTTTATTTCATGTTTTCAATAGGAAGATATACATACTAGATTACTTAGCCCTGACACACGTGACAGGTATGGTGTGAATAGCAGACAAGAAGGAGTAAGTACATTTATTCATATATTTCAACTTTGCATTTAAGAGTACTGTATCCCTTTAGCAGCCAACATCAAATTCTGTAGAACTTTGCAGGAACTATGAATATGCCACGTATGTCCTATCTGTAAAATGTAAACGTTAGCAGTGTCCTAGTATTCAAATTATGCAAGGAAACACGTTTTCTTTCTAAACGTCACTGTCAGACACTATTGAGTGACTAAGTGATTTCTTTTTTTCTTTGGTAATAACATTCATAACATGAGCTGTAAAGGGTGCATGAGCATTTGTCTACATCAATAACCCACTTTTTGTAATCGACCAAATTGAACTGATTGAATATTTGCGCAGCACAAGACATACGATCATTCGTTACAAGGGTCTGAAAATCAGACTATTTACTGAAAGGATTGTTATCTATAAAGTCGATTCGACAACTAACGGTCCTTATTTTCCAACAAAGAGATATTTTCAAGCCCTTTCGTTTTGAAGGAAGTTCTAAATTAGTATTATCTTTCAATTGCCATTGGAATTTAACTTATTCATTATTTTGGCCTGCAAATGGGACATAGTACCTTTAAGCTATTTTTGTAACAACATTTCATCTATAGACTTATTTTATTTGAATGGCGATATACATGATTAATAGTTGCCTGAGTATTGTTATTGATTTTTTTTCCGTGTACGCACATTCTGAAATGCAAATATAATGCAAATCTATGACAAGTCATGCTGTCTAATAAGAATCTCTGCAAAAAATGTACAGAAGCTCACATATAAGAACATGAACAATAACACATTTTTGTATCTTCCTCTCCCTTCGTGAGTGTACACTTAATAGATGCCATTTGTAATGAATTCATACATGTATTTTACGTTGAAAACTTGCAGCCTTTAATTTCACTTCTATAATTCCATAAAGCTTTATATCTCAGCAGGTTGGTACACGTGCATAACAATAGAATTTACATGAAAGAAGGAGAAACCCTTTAAAAAAAAAAAGGAACACTAGTTTTTAGTGGGGGAGGGGGGGGGGGGCAATTTGTAGAAAAAAATATTTAGCGGCGAATCAGCCAGCCGGTGAAAAAGCGGGGGGGGGGGGTGGTGAGTGAGCACTACTTTGTTCTCAACAACACCCGTCGCCACCTCCCCCTTAAGCCCCCCCCCTCCAACAAAAAACAAACAAAATATATATATATATTTTTTAGGTAAACTTAACGTTACCATCTTTTTCTAAACCTGTTTTGGGGCCAGGGGGCAGGACCGTCTCCCCCCTCCCCCGTGGATTCGCGCCTGGTATTTATATTGCCTTCAATAATTCATTCCACAATAGAGATGATTTTGCAACAGAAGTTGTGACATTAAAATGAGATGCCCAACAGTACGTCGGCGTATTTTGCATGTTTGTAGGCTCTTACCTTCTTTCTTTGGGGGTGGGGGGGGGGGGGGGGGGGGGGGGGGTCATGTAAAAATCAACCATCAATACACAAAATGGAAGCTAGATTCGAGAAAATTCCCCGATTTAAGGTTCCGGAATGAAGTTTCTTTCTCTTTCTCAATACAGGACTTCGATGACCTCATTCATGGCATTATTCAGATACCGAAGTATTGCCAGATAATTATCGATACACCGGAGTTCCAGAGACTACGATTCATCAAGCAGCTTGGCTGTACCAATTATGTGTTCCCAAGCGCCGTCCATACCAGATTTGAACACTCAATAGGGTACTTTTAGTTTTCATAATGAGAGATTTAAGGGTTATTTGGTCGGGTAGAAATGGAAACGGGAATAAATTCTCGAGTAGCGGTTGAAAAGATATAAATCAAGAAACGAATGAAAGACCAATAGTCACTTCGAACTAAACCTGGCTTCGACTGCACAGTTATAAGAAATTGTCCCTGGTACAATGTATGGTACTGATAATTGAATTGAATGAATAATGGTGTTTATTTAGAATTAAAGAATAACAATGCATCGCGGCCAAAATGGCCAAATTGGGCAATGTTTTACAATTGTAAAATACAACATATAAAAATATTTATAGAAAATGACATCAATATTAATGAACAAAACGTAAAGGAGTTAATTGTATGAAATGAATTAACTTGAAAATTCTTTTTTCTTTTTTGGTCTCCCTAAATCATTTGATTTATAAAGGAGATAAAGATAAGTGAAGCAGAACATGATGATGATGATGTAGAGTAAAGAAAGAAAATAAAAGGGGATAGTAAGATGGTAAGATATAGAAGAAAATGAAGAGGAAGAATAAAAGAGAGAAGAAGAAGAGGAAAAAAGTAGAAGAGAAGGAGGAAGAAGAAGAAGATTCAAATGGGGATAGCAAGAGGAGACGGAGGGTAGTGCGAATAGTAACAGTATCATAAGAAATTAATATCCAACTACTACACATTATACAAACTACAAATGGTAGAGGCGAAATTATGTACGAAACAAATACTAATATGACAAAGTGTACATATCAAAAATATACTCTAGATAATAGCTACTCTATTAGTAAAAGGTTATACTGGTTTATCCAGACTAAAAAAGGGGACTATTAGAAGTAAAAGTAGAAGAAGAAAGAGGGGAAAAGGGGATCGTTAGAAAATGAATGAGAAGGGCGAGATGAAAAAGGAGGTGGAGAAGAAGAAGTGGTAGAGGAAGAGGAGACAACTGTGACATTGGCCATGGAAGATGATTTCAGTCATTTAAACAATTACAAATAAATGGTGAACACAGATTTTTTTACTTTGATACAGCAGATGTAGTGTTTCCATTATAAAGACCCAGTATAAATATAAAAGAGGTAACCACGATACCACGAATATTGACCAACATATTCCACCACAACTTATCTTCATTCGATTATAAGGTTTTCATTCTTAAAACGAAAGTCCCTCTCGGTATTAGTTAGGCCTGTCTAATGAATATAACATTACAATATCTCTAAAAGATCATATAAAGCACTGAAAAAACAACGAACCTCATTTTCATGCAATTCAACTTCCATGGAACAGAGACATATGTTAGCGAGATGCTTGATCTTGCTACGGGCTTTCTTTCATCAACAGAATGTTTGCAATTGGTAGAGCGTTAGTGTTGGGCATTGTGTCGTAGTTAAGAATTCAGTAAGTGTATGTGATTCACGTGGATAAATTGTCGCCAAAGCAAGGCTCGTATAACAAATGCAGGAGTGGGTGAACTGGATATTGTCAAGTTTAATTTCTTGTTCATGCGAGGAAATGCCACAGAATTTGGGTCCTGACCAGACAAATTCACTTAGGAAGACAAATAATAAAAAAATCTGTGTTTATAAAGACAAGAAGACAAAATTACTCTTGTGTTTTTCCGACCTGAAGTTGATGTACTTTTTCCAAATGAAATCAAATGTCAGTTTCTATGACAGTAAGAAGCTTTTATATTAATAAAAGACCATAAACAAAATTTCATTATTTCAGACTATATTACTTTCCATTTTCAATGCAGTGTCAGCCACTTAGGGGGCAAACTGGCCTTAATGCTCCAAGAGAATGATCGTAACAGCAGCACCCCTATTCAGAACACCGAGGTCGCTTGTGTTGAGATCGCCGGTCTCTGCCATGACCTCGGACACGGTCCCTTTTCTCATGCCTTTGAAGACATCATACAACCATATGAAGATGGCAACAAATGGAAAGTGAGTTAAAAAAAATAAGAGCACGATGGATCAGTTGTAGAGCAGTGGTCTCGTAACCAGGAGGTCCCGCGTTCGAAACCAAATCGATTAGCCACTGCCCTTTTGGAAGGCTTTAATCCTCTTTAACCAGTCACTCGGAGACTTTTGGTCGTCGGTCCCCTTGTTCATTGCTAACAACCATACATATGCAAATGCATATTAGTTAAAGTTACACTTGTCACAGGATTATTTAATCCGTTTCTGGGTTTCCCAGTTAATAGGGCCATATTTCAGGGGGACAGAAGGAGAGGATGACATTTAGACAAAATGGATATTTTAATGTTTGCAATGTGAGTATTGAAAAGCGTTTTACTGGACGGCAAGGAGTGGCTTGGTGAAAAATATCGTAAATGTATAATTTAAGTCAAAATATAAGAAGAACAAAAAAAAATAATCAAAATTTATCTGCAAAATAGCCTGTTCGTAATGTTTACATTAAATTTGTATTTTTTAAGACATATATTAGCTTTTGCTTAAAAAAGGTGTCAAAATTGTGCTTATTCGCTTTTTCGAAAGTCTTTGAGATCGGGTGTTCTTTATTCCTATTCAAATGTGTTTAATAATAACCCAAGTTTATCATTTCCTCCATGATCTTTGCAGCCTGATAAGCAGGCGGTCTTCATGCTCAAATATCTCATCAAGCATAACAGCCTAGAGAAGAAGCTCGCAGATCTAAAAATCTACGCCGAAGATATCGACTTCATCTGTCAGCTTATTCTGGGTGTTAAAGAGGATGACGAAATGGTATAAATGAGATCATCAAGAGAGAGAGAGAGAGAGAGAGAGAGAGAGTGAGCAAAAGAATGGGGGGGGGGGGGGGGAAGGGGAGGAGAGGGGGAGGGGTTCGAGTTGTCCAAGCTCCTGATTTCCTCTTGGCAAAGTCGTCTGATTACCGTTGACATACTTGTGTTAATTTAGCAGGGCCCCCGAGTATAACCGTGTTTTACTCACTGATGGGGTTACCCTGGGTAAATAAAACAAAACAAATAAATAAATAAATAAATAAATACAATTTTTACTCGAAAATTTCATTATTTGGGAGGACTTTGCATGTGCATTGGTATCTTGTAGGAAATGTTTTTGATAATTTGTCTTAATCATTATAAACTTTGTATTCATATTCACAAATTGTACTAAAAGGGAATTGAGTTAAACATTAAAAAAATGTTATTCGTGAACAGAGAACAAACAAATGCATGGTGATGTCACATGAAATTAGATGAACAAAACACAAGACAAAATAACAAGAAATCATAAAAAATATATTATATCTCTCTCCTCTCCCCCTCACTTACTCTATCTCCATTAACCGTCTATAATTATGTATGGCTCTTGCCAACACCCTGTCTGTCTCTCCCTGTCTCTTTCTCTTACATACTCAGTCTGCCCCTCTCTGTCTTTCTTTCTCCGTCCGTCCGTCTGATACTCTGTGCCTTTATCCACCTGTCTGCCTGCCTCTCTCTATGAGTCTCTGCCTGCCTCTCTCTGAGTCTCTGCCTGCCCCTCTCTGAGTCTCTGCCTGCCTCTCTCTGAGTCTCTGCCTGCCTCTCTCTGAGTCTCTGCCTGCCTGCCTCTCTCTTAGTCTCTGCCTGCCTCTCTCTTATTCTCTGTCTGCCTATCTCTTAGTCTCTGCCTACCCCTCTCTGAGTCTCTGCCTGCCTGCCTCTCTCTTAGTCTCTGTCTGCCTCTCTCTGAGTCTCTGCCTGCCTCTCTCTGAGTCTCTGTCTGCCTCTCTCTGAGTCTCTGTCTGCCTCTCTCTGAATCTCTTCCTGCCTCTCTCTGTGAGTCTTTGCCTGCCTCTGTAACGTTCTCTCACAATATCCTTTAAAATGTTTCAGCTTCGTGAGAACAAGTTCTGCCTGTATCAGTTAGTGAACAACAGCGTATACGGGATGGACGTGGACAGATGGGACTATATTGCTCGGGGCGCCCACTACCTACATGTAGGCAGGAAGTCTACATTCGACTTCAAACGTATTCTGTCCTCCGTGAAGATTCTCGATGTTAAGCGAGGCAGTAAGACCAGGAGGGAACTCTGCTTTAGAGACGAGGTATACACTCACATAAAAATGCAGGTTCAATTCTTCACCCAAAATCATGGAAACTGTATAAATAGCAGAACCTCGAAAATAGGGTGCAAGCCCGAGCCTCAACAACGTATGAGTTATTGTCGGATCCTAGCATTGTACCAGACCTCACCCTACCAAACCTAACCATACAAATATTACTTCTGTACCACACCTCATCCTACAAAAGCTAACCATAATAATATTACTTCACACTCCTGACGACGGATAGTCAACCTGTTCGAAACGTCGAGCCACTCCCGCCACTCATCCTCTCCAAGCGCTATAGTTCTCCTTAGAACTATAAGCTAAGAAAGATAGCCAACAGTCTTTTTCAAGACTACACCAACAGTCCTTTTCAGGAACTACACACCCTCAAGAAAGATTTAATACCGAGAATCCTTTTCAGGACTCCTCAATCCTCCCTCTGTCTCACATGGTGCACCCGCAAGCCTACTGTATAATATTACTTCATTGTGTACTTCGTGTTCGAAATATGGTTAATCGAATAAATTTATATTGTCCTTCTTTCGAAATGAACTTTCATCTTCTTCCTTGTCTTAGGTAGCGAGAGATCTAAACCAAATGTTTCTCACAAGCCGCCAGCTTAACTACGCATCTTACCAGGATAGGCACAGCGAGGTCATCGCCATCATGTAATTAGAAGAAAAAAAGTTCCACTCGATTTGATTTAATTTGATTTGAATACATTACGCATCATACCTGGGAGAGGTTTTTAAGGATTTTCCACCCATTGAAAGAGCTGTACATCAAAATAAGGGACAGGGTCAATAGAGAAAAGTTGCAAAATGCACTGGTAAGCAGTGGTGTAATTATTTAAATGACTGCGGGGCTATTATTCCCAAATGGACATCCATGAATGCCACATTGTAAAGAATCTGAAAATAAAATGCATGCACTATGGTGAAATGTCTGGTAAGATTTGATGCTTTGGGGGTAAAGCAGCTCTACTATCATTTACAAAAATCACTTATGTCAAAGAAAGATGAGTGGTCTGCATAACAATGCCAGTGCGTACTTGTGCATTTTGCAATTTTTCTCTTTTGACCCTGATCTTTGTGCTGCTTTGTACTGCTCATTCCATGCGTGGAAAATCATAACAAAGATGGTATCTATATAAAGAGGAACAAAAGTTGTTTACCCTACGTACCACTCTCTTGCTTGACGACTTTGAATTAAATTGAATTTACTGATCTACATACATGTAAAAGCAAAATATTGAAAAGAAAAAAGAATACATTAAACATATGAGATAAAAAGCAAATACATGACCATGGCAACAAAAAGGCAAATCGCTTATGAATAGGGCATCACATAAAACAAATTAAACAAAATAATAATAAATCACCATACCTGCACACTTATACCCAACATACAAACACACACATAAAGTACACGAAAGCGTTTGTAAAAAGTTATCAATATGAAAAAAATAGATTTTGTAAACTTACTTTGTAATGACTGTATTGTCACCAAATTTTCAAATGGGTATTTGCAACGAAGCTTTTATAAACAGGTTAAAATTTAACTTAATTTGAATGAAGTGGGTTCCATTATTATACGCCAGCAACATGTAATGATTTAAGCGAAGTAGTAAATCTTACTTGGGTTGATGAAAATGGCCATTTTGACGAGTGGCATATTAAAGAACGTTTGAATTTAGCACAAACTTATCATACTTATCGGGGAAAGTTTTATGTCCTACAGAGTACATACCTTTGAGAGTATTGAATGTAGTCAAATCGTATAAAGGCAACATTTTCATCTGTTTAAAGAGTGGTATTCTTGGACTTTGTTTTTAACTTAAGCATACGATCGACGGTGATTGATGTTGTATCCCCTCACACTTCTCCGTCATGCTTTTAACGATCTGCTCGTTATAGCGTCGCTGATCCTCAGCCACTCCCTTTTTCTGTTCTCGTGGCAGGAGCTCCTTTTTTCATCTCTTCATCTACACCATGGTACTGATGGTTTGTTGCTGCTTGTTGCTGCTTGTTGCGCAATGCGCTTGTCCTCATTGTTTGTATACAGTTTGTTGCACTTGTTTATCATTTGTAATTTTGAATTCACTATCTGAGGAAATACATCTAAACCCGTAATAGTTATTTGTTTTATATATACATATATATACATATCACAAAACCTTATTCAAATATTTTTGTAGGCTGAAGGACGCTTTCCAAGAAGCAGCTGATCATCTCATATTCGTTGGTGAAGGGGGGTAAGTTTCCTTTACAATTCAAAACAACATTCTTGTGTTGCTTATACATTTATGTAATTCCGTGTTATGGATGTAAAAAGAGTAAATGGGAAAATGATACAGTCGTTGAATGTGGGCAGTATGTGATAATGTAATTGATCGACTGGTTAACTGGATTTTTAACAGGTAGCCTCCTGTACCATAACTTTCATAACTTTGTTTTGCATTTGCGTATGAATCTGTTTCAGAAAGAAGTACAAATTATTGGATTCTGTGAAGGACCCTGAGGCCTTCTGCCAAGTCGATGACACCATTGTAAACGCGATCAGGCAATCACTATCTCAAGAACCAGGAATGGTGAAGGCACGGGAGATCATAGACCGGATACACAGGAGAGAATTCTATCATTGCATTGCAGAATGCAAGCATGCCAAAGAAGAGGTATTTTCACGTCTTTCAAATTTATTTAATGATTTAAAGGCAGGGTATTTTAACGAAATGGCTACCACTGCTGTCATGTAGCTCCAACTACGCCATATCTCAGTGAATGCGTACATAGAACGATTCTGGGTCCCGTACATCATCAAGCGCGTCATCAGTTGATGATGCATTGTGGGACATGGCTGTCAACACAGTGAGAAACTGTTACCAGCAGATGGCAACATGTATCTGAAGAAGTGTCAGTAGAATAGCCTGAATTTAAAGAGAATAATAGTTAACAAGTTCAAGTTCAAGTTTTATTTATCTTTCTTTCATAACACACATTGCAAATATGACATGAATATAAACAAGTTGACAGAATATGGCGTTACAATAGAAAGATAAGGTGACCTTGGTTAAAAGCGAGGCTTGAGTGTGGAATTAAGGTCCCTCATGAGTGGCTTATGAGTATGTCCTAAATGAACAAACACGTCAGATAAAAATAATGCATACCTTAACCCTAATAAGGCCGGGGGGGGCCCATTATGGCCCCCCCTCCACAATTTTTCTGATTGCTCGGGAACGCATATGGATGGCGCCGCGCCGCTCGCTGACTTTTTTTTTTCAAGCCTTGCGCAACTTTTAAAATAATTTTTTTGAAAATCGGACCTACGGTTACAAGGTCACGTGACCTTTTGTCCTTGCATGTCAGCCTGAAAATCGCTCATTTTCGTGATTTGTGTACAAAACGTATGGCAAAGTCATTTTTCCTAAAAACAGATCAAACATGGGTTATTGGGTCTTGATTAAAGTTTAGGTGGTTGTTTTGGGAGTCAAAATAGTTGAATTGTAGTAAAAGATGAAATAAAACAACAAAAACAATGAAATACATAAGTTAAAAAAACAATGAAATACATAAGAAATTATCAGAACAAAGGATAACATAAGAAATAAGCTGGCTCTTCCAAATTTTTTGTCGTATTATTATTCAGAATGGTCTAATGAATATATCTAGTGAAAAAGAATGCTTAAATATGAATAATGTATGATTTATGGGTAAAAATGTGATTTTTATGACTTTATTTGCATAAATTACCATAAATATGCAAATGAGTGAATTTTTCAAAAAATTGAAATTATCATATTATTCTTTACACTTCACTTGATATGCGTGCAAATTTTCGCGGCGATCGGCCGCTTCGCGGCCGAGATCTTAAGGGGGGGGGGGGGGCCATAATGGCCCCCCCCCCCGGCCCTACTAAGACTTCAAATAGCCCGGCCCTATTAGGGTTAAAATGCCTATAAACTAAACTAACTAAAGAACTGAGAAAAATATAAACATAAATAAATATAATAAAATCTACTGACTACTAAAAAATGATATTCATAGCAGTAGCAGGAGTGATGGCTGATGTTGTAGTAGATTTAGTTGTTAAAGGTATAGACCAGTTTTGGAAACGCCCCCTCTCAAAAAATGAAGTGGAAGCTCTTATTACAAATCATGTGAAAGGATATGTTTTGACTAATACGTGACGATACAAATTTTGCCGGGAAACCGCTTACTAATTGATATTTGGTAAATTATCATATCGATTCGGCCTGGATAGGTATTGTGTAGTCCCATATACATCTTTTTGTGTACAGTGCTTGTAACTTATCCAAAACTGGGCCAAATTTCTCATCATTTTGATGATTCCAGAACCTTGCAGTACATGGCACACCAACACTTATATGCTAGATGATCAACCTTTTCTGATCGATTCCACAATGTTTTTCTCGCAATGCTATGTCATGACCAGACCGGGTCTAATATGATCACATAAACACCTCTATGACCAACATGGTATATAAAGGTGGGTAGGTACCGGTAGCTCTTGCAAGTTACTAACGGCCCTCTCTCGGGGGAACTCGTGGCAGTTTCACATGGGCGAGGACAAGCCAGGACGGGTGTGAACTACTAGACCCTGAAGTGACTGGTGGAAGGGTACATACTTAAAAATACATTCATGTACCTATACATATATGTATATATACATATTTTATATATATATATATAGAATCACCAGAGGAACAGGTTCCAATGGGAATATAGAAGAATACATATATATATATATAAATATATTTCACGATAATTCTTGTTCTAATTAAAGATGGGTACAATGGATCCAGCTGAGATTAAGCGGGAGATCTTAACTGATGTTGACGAACTTTCATCACCTTCGTCCTCATCTTCAAGTGAGATATGGCAAGCTCACAATATCGAAGTCATCTCAGTCAAGGTATTACCAATTGTAGCATTTTTGTAAGGGAACAGTGTCGTCATTCCGTAGGTTCGATATTATAAAGATTCGTAATTCTTGAAAAGAAATAGGGTTCGTTATATAGTATTCTTCTTCAAATTTCGCACTTACGAAATGATGATCTCTTTGTCATATTCGGACTCATGAACCGTATTTCGTTTTCGGGATTACGAACCTAAATGTTTTACTTTTCAGAATTACGGACCTTTGTAATAATGAACCCTTCTTCATTTTCAGAATTCTGAACCTTCAGATCAAGGAACCTTCAAAGTAACGCAACAAATAGGGAATTAGGAACCCCTAATAAAGGAAGTTTGTGTTTCGAAATTATGAGCTATCGGAAAAACGAAAGCCCCCCCCCCCCACTTACGGCAGAAGGTCAGGTCACTGCATATACATTTTCATAATCTGGTAGGACGCATGATCGTCCAAAAATATATATATTTTTAAAACTCTTTTAATCTTGTGAGAATTTGCTTGGGCTAAATTGTCGGTAAATTTGACCTGCTACCGGACCCAATTCAACTGGTTCTAGCGACACCCTTATGTGTTTAATATATTATATATCAATTTCAAAGATTGTCAGCGACATAAAATAGTGTACCGTGGAGGAAACTAAAATAAAACTATTCTTTTTCTATGAACACATTTACGAAAACAATCCTGTGGTGGCTTTAATAATACAGATATATTGACTGCTATGAGAGGCATAGCCGTTTATATTAGATAGCTTAGACAGATACCGAGATGTGATTGGTCCAGAGCTCGTCACGTGATATCAATGTTTTTTAAACGTTTGCATAATGTAATGGAAATTTTAGTCTCTCCCGATCAGACGGGATACTTAAAACAACGTTCTGCTGTGCAGAATATTCGTCTTGTCTTAGACGTGATTGATTACTGTAACTATGCAAATTCTCCTGGTATTTTGATTTTCTTAGATTTCAAAAAGGCTTTTGATAACATTTGTCATGATTTCCTATTTTTGTTATTAGATAGATTTAAGTTCAAAGAAACGTTTAAACATTGGGTCAAAACACTCTACAGTAATGCAATAGGCAGAGTTATTAACAACGGCTGGGTCTCTAAGGATTTCAGAATAGATCAAGGTGTAAGACAAGGTTGTCCGTTATCGGCTCTTCTCTTTATACTGGTTGCCGAAGTTATGGCTGTGAGAATAAGGCAAAATACCAACATAAAAGGTATTAGTATTTCGTTAAAAAATCCACCTGTCGTTGAAGAAAATATCAAAATATCTCAATTAGCAGATGACACGGTAATTTTTGTTAACGCTATAGAAGATGGAAACACTGCCATAAAAGAGGTGAAAACATTTGGGGTCTTAGCAGGGCCAAAACTGAATTTAATGAAAACCAATGTCATGTCAACTTCTTTTCAAGAAGAATGCTTAGATAATTTAGAATGGACTAATGAGCCCATTAAATACTTAGGTGTGTACATAACTCAAGGAAAGAAAGAATCGGAAAGTTTAAATTGGAACTTGAAACTGGAGAAAGTAAATTCGTTGCTGAGAGTTTGGAAAATGAGGAACCTGACATACTATGGGAAAATAACAATCATAAAAACGCTTATTGCTTCCCAATTTGTATATATTGCGACATGTTTACCAATTCCACAAAAGTTTGTTGTCAACCTAAACAGATTAATTTATAGCTTTCTTTGGGGATCAAAAAGGGAAAAAATAAAAAGAGAGGTTGTTACTCGTGCTGCAGAGGGGTGGGGTTTAAACATGGTAGATATACAAACCAAATTCCAATCATTGCAATTATCTTGGTTTTCAAAATATATGAAAGGGGGTAAGTCGCAATGGAGAATACTTTTTAGATATTGGATCAGTTTTATTCAAGACATACCATTAATTTTGAAAGTAAACTGCTCAAGCAAAGACATGTTCTCGCTATGTAAGATGTATAAGTTACCAATATTCTATGCTAACTTACTCACATATTGGTGCGAATTAAGATATGTTCATTTCCTGAATGTAAGAGACATATGTAATGAAATTCTGTGGTATAACAGTAACATCAAACATGAACGAAATGTTTTATTTTTTAAAAAATGGAATGTAAATGGAATCTGTAAAGTTAGTGATGTATTTGAAAACGGACAATGGGTGTCATGCAACACTCTCTTCGAACGTTTAGGTACAAGTTCTTTACTAGATAGCTTCAAACTCTCGAAACTAAAAAGGGCTTTTCCAAAAGTATGGGTAGAAAAAATAAGAAATAATAATTTTAATCCAATTGCAACAGAAGTTTCTGAAGGAATGTTTGAGATATCGAACTGCGACTTGATTAAATTAAGTCTCATGAAAGCAAAACACTTTTATATTCTTTTGAATGAGTTCAAAAAAGAAAATCCTCCGGTGTCATTGTTTTGGCAGGAAATACTGCAACTACCAAACAATTTTGAGTGGAGGCATGTTTTAGATTTTAAATTAAAAAAGATCAAAGACAACAGAGTAAGACAATTTAATTTCAAACTGCTTCATAAAGTTTTACCCTTCAAAGACAATCTTTACAAGTGGAAAATTACATCCGATATGCTTTGTACATATTGCAATGAATCAGAATCGTTTATACACATTTTGCTAAGATGTCGCCAAGTCGCAGTCTTTTGGCAAAAAATTCATCATCTGGTAACGAACTTGTTCCAAAAAGATATTGAGTTAGGAGAAAAAATCATACTAATTGGTTTCAACATTGAAGACCCGGAGTTTTTGCTCATGAATGTATTAATTGTTTACGCACAATATGCAATTTATAAGGTGTATATACTTAATCATCTTAGAAGTAAATCCTTCAATAGTCATTCAATTTGGATGACTTTCAAAAGCGATTTTATGTTTTATGTCAATTGGCAATACAGAAACCAAGAACAATTAATAAGTAATATCAAGATGAATGTTTCTTAGTTGAACCTTTAACGCATTTATATTCATGCCTTGATCTTTCCCTTCCAATTTCCTTATGTTTCCCCTATTTTATTATATCAGTTTGTTGATTGTGAATATATATATATATTGTAATTAAACTCTATGTACAATGTTGTTAAAATGATATAAAGTAATAAAGTGCCTCGTATGAGGAAAAGAGAAAAAAAAATCAATGTTTTTTAAGGTTAGATTTTTTTTTTCCCCCAATTTAAAAAAAAAAAATGGACCCCCCCACACAAAAAAAACCAAGGCTATCTAATATAACAGTTATTGACTGGCAGGGGGTGTAATATAACATTCTTTGGACCTGAAGGGAGTTATATTTCCCAAGTGGTTATATTTTCCCGAAGCGCGCAGCGCTGAGGGAAAATATGGTCACGAGGGAAAATATAACTCCCTTCAGGTCCAAAGAATGTTATATTACACCCCCTGCCAGTCAATAACTGTATAATATGACCGCGAGACGCACCGCAACGGGCGGCGCCCCTAGGGGTCATAGCAGGATGTAACGCCCAGGATGTAAAGAGCCATTATAGAAACAGCAATGCCTCGAATTAAAGCAGTCCATATAGAGTGCCGAAGCTGTGACGTCATACAAATCTATATTTTTGGATTTCTCATTTTTTCTTCATTTTTCCGAAAGAGCATCACAAATAATGTCCAAAATGTCGAAAACCAATTGAATATGTTAAGTATTGACTGAGATATGACCATATGCTATTTAGAAATAGGATATTTAGACCTTGACTTAAAATTCCATAACCACGATATCCCGAAGAGATTCTTGACAGCTAGCTCGCGCATGCGCATGCACAATACGACGTTATATCATATGACAACTGTCGTCCAATGATTTTGCTCGAATCCACTAACTTATGCGCCTGCGCAAGTTCAACACCATGTATAACACCAAGACTCGGAACATCAACCTGTACTTAAATATTTCAACACTGTTGGTGTTGAACGGACGTGAACGGACGTGAAATTAACACCAAGGGTGTTGGTTTTTTTCTATTCCAGGCTGGTGTTAGAAATTTAACACCCTGGTTTTTGTAGGGCAGGCATGGTTAAAATCGCGACTCCAATTTCGACCAATCGAATGATCAGATTTATTCAACATACTAAAGAGAGATATACAAATATGTAAAATTAAATTAAGAAATATTTTGCGTATTCTAATTTATTTTCATTTTTTTTACTTTTTTTCTCATTTACTGATAGTTATCACGATTTGACTGTGGAGGCAGAAACCCTCTCATCAATATCCCGTTCTACAAGGAATCAAGTGATGGTACATTTGTTGCCGAGTTCCTACCAGTGGACGAGGTAAGTGTACTAAGACATGACCTATGTAAACTCAGGCGCGGATCCAGGATTTCTTAAGGGGGGGGGGGCCCAAATTTGAAATTATGCGAGCCAAATACTGGTACGGAATGGTGACCAGCAGTGGCGTTATGAGCAAAAACGTTTGTTTGTTTTGTTGTTGTTGTTGTTTTTTTTTTTTTTGGGGGGGGGGGTTGAGGGGCAGACAAAAAAAAAATCCGTATCACCCCACCCTTACATGCAGGCCCCGCTGAACGGTTGTCAAAGTGGGTGGAGGAAGGTTAAAGTATATACGATCAGGTAGAGCGCAGCGTAAATTGGCGTGGGGTCTAGAGGCAAAGCCCCGGTGGGCGTCAAGGGGCGGAGTCTCTGGAAGCTCAGGGGTTTTAGGCATTTAATTACGGTCAGACGAGCATCTAAGGCCCGCCTTATGGCCCTAGGTGGGGTCCAGGGGAAAAATCACCCGGAAGCTCAGGGGTTTTAGGCATTTAGTTACGGTCAGATGAGCATATTTTGATACCTTATTTATGACACTGGCAGGACACTAATTGGCGTAGGGTCCAAGGGGCGGAGTACCCGGAAGCTCAGGGGTTTTAGGTATTAAATAACGATCAGATAAGCATCCAGGTGACCGCTTTAGGGCCATTGGTTGGACCCAGGGGCAGAGTCCCCAGATGCTCAGGGGTTTTAGGCGTTTAATTACGGTCAGATGAGCATATTTTGATACCTTATTTGAGACACTGGCAGGACACTAATTGGCGCGCTTGGCTCTAAATTTAGGAATTTGTCATTTTCCAACAAACGCATACAAAATATAATTTACTAAAAAGTGAGGTAAAAATATCGGAAAAATTATGTAATTTCAGCAACATTTGTAAATCACCGGTATCGAATTAGGAATTAACTACGTTTGAATTATATTTGGCAATTGCCTCCCCCCCCCAAAGCCCCACCTTATCAGTTTGCCAGTGGCCCCCCGATCTACACCTTGTTGGCGGGAAAACCGCAACTGATCTCCCCTACCTTTCTTCTCTCTCTTTTAGGATTGCTGGGGGGAGGGGGGCAAGGGCCTTTCGGCCCCTCCGATGCACACGTTGTTGGCATTGGATTAATCGCATTTGCTCTCCCCTTCTCTTCACCCTTTTCCTTTTTCCTGGCTTCTCTCTTTTTTTTGGCGGGGGCAAAGGGGAAGGGAGGAGGCAAGGGCCTTTTGCCCCCCCCCCCACCATCCACAACTTTTTGGCGAAAAAATTGCAACTGATATCCCCCTTCTTTTCTTCTTCCTCTTTTTTCCTTCACTTTGTCTCCTCTTTTCTTTTTTCTTTCCCTGTTCTTCCTTCTCTGTCAATTTTTTTTTGATGAGGGGGGGGGGGGGGTAGAGGTAAAAGTCTTGGAGGCGAGGCCCTTTCGCCCCCTCCCCCTTGATCTACTCTTTCCCCCTTTTCTTGTTTTCTTCCTCTTCTTTCTTTCCCTTTCTCTCCTCTTTTCCTATCCCTTCTTTTCCTCTCTCTCTCTCTCTCTCTCTCTCTCTGTGTCTCTCTTTTTGGTGGGAGGGGGGAGGGGGGGGGGGAGGCTCCCTTGGTTACCTGGATCTGCGTCTGAAACTAAGCAAACCTTTACAAATCTACCCACGGGGAGGTGTCGTGGTATCGTGTTTCATTTGTTTGACTCTAAACCCAAGGGTTTTGGGTTTCAATCCCAGCCCGGCACTTTTAGAGATAAGTATGCTTATATATATATATATATTGTACGAACTGGAGATGTCGTGGTATAGTGGTTCATCCTCTTGACTGTCAATCCAAGGGTTGAGGGTTCGAATCCCGGCACTAGCATCCTTTGGCAAGGCATTAATCTATCTTTGCCACTCTCCACCCAGGTGTTAATAGATACTTGCTGTCGAGGCTTCATTACTATCATAATTACTATCGTTATTATTGTCATTATTATTATCATTATCATTATCATTCATATTACTATTATCACCATTACTGTTGTTATCATTATTACTATTATTATAATCATCGATCCTTCGATTTACCAAACTGCCAAATAACTAACCTTCAGAATTAAAAAAAAACATCGACCCGCACTAGCGGACCGTTTTGCGAATAACTCTAGGATGAATCTCTCTAAAGGCTGGTTCAGAAAAGACGCTGTAATCGCCCCCCCCCCCAAAAATAAAAAAATAACCACGGTTTATATTTGTTACGTGTGAATCAACGGAAACGTAGCCTTTTAAAGGGAGGCTTTACTACTGCAGCTAGAAGGGATTAGACCACCCAAAGAGCCATCGAGGTCACTGTGACAGGTGGCTATCTCATTAACTCAGCTCTCATTTAGCATAAGAAAAAGAGGATCATGGGGGACCAACAGGCACCGATTTGGGAAGTTTTCTATATAGAGGGAGCAAGTAGCTACAAGTAGGACAGTGTGCCTTTAAAGCACGAGTTCACCTCTACCTATTAATATTCCCGCCTAAGATTTTTCAGATAATCTCTATGTTGACCAAAAAATGATAATAACCATCCATTTTTCACAGATATCACGCTTGCTGGAAAAAACCCCTGGAAAAAAGGTAAATACGGTCACGTGGCCTGATGACGATATCAACATTACTTGATAATTCATGTTGAATTTTGTTTTCTATGTTTTAATTACTCTCAAATCGTCCCTGATTATCAATTTGTTGTTGTCTTTTATTCTAATATTCACACTTTTTGGTTCCATTTATGTTGACCTATTATAGGTCAGTTTTAATCATATGCAAACAGAGCCCTGACGAAGACCAGCTTGTAACTTATTTTAAGTATTTGCTGTATCTTGTCACAATTTAAGAAATGTTTGTGTTTTAGACTATGTAAATTTGCTTTTTTATATTTCATTTGTAAATTTGTATCTTTGTTAATGTCTTTAATACTGATCAGGCTTCTCTGTCTAAATATTCGTGAATAAATAAAATAAATAAATAAATGACGCATTAACGTCATTTATAATGCAGGATTGCACCTTTTAAAGGGTGCAGGACTGAACCCCTAAAGGTGCTGTTAGTGCATCGGCTTGCACCCCTAATGGAGCAGGATTGAACCATTAAGGGTACTACATGTCTCTTAAAAGGTGCAACCTGGCACCCTCTTAAAGGGTGCAGGATTGAACCCATAAAGGTGCTGCTAGTGTTGCATCGGTTTGCACCCCTAAATGTGCGTGATGGAACCATAAAGGGTACTAACATAGGTCTCCTAAAAGGTTCAATCTGGCACCCTTTTAAAGGGTGCAGGATTGCACCTTTAAAAAGGGTGCAAGATTTAACCCCTAAAGGTGCTGCCAGTGTTGCATCGGTTTGCACCCCTAAAGGTTCATACTTGCACCATTTTTCTTAGTGTGTAGTGCATAACGACGATTGGGGTATCTCCATTCAATGCTATGTTATGTTGTGTATAATGCCAATGTTGTCTCCTGCAGTGACGTCATATGCTATTGCGCAATACAGCTCCGAAACTGGGCTTTTTTCTGAGTGTTCTGAGTCGTCATTTTTAAAGCTAGATTCCAGAATAATGGATGATTTCTAAGAAGAATCATCGTCATATTCGGAATCTCCGTCAATTCTTTTTCTTCATGTCACGTTTTCAATTTTAAGCCTGTTTTGGTTGAAGGGGACCTTTAATAGCTCTGTACAAATGAAATGAGAAATGTGAAGCGTGTGGCGCTTTACGTCATCATAAAACAAACCACCGCGGTTTACCGCTACATCTGAACAAGACTTATGAACCAAGGGATTTCAAAAGTTTGCTTTGCAAAACAGTTTGATCATGAGAATCTACTTATTAGTCTGATGGTAACTTTGATAGATTAATCTGCAAATAAAACTTTAGACTATGAAATTCCCCAATGACAATGCTGTTCATACTAGAACAATGCGAATACAGCAATCCTTCTCTCTGCTCTCACACAAATTTGGACAAAGCAAAATATCGACGCGACTAGCGTCTAAATAACCACCCTTCGGATTTTCGATCAAAGAACTATACTGTCGAAACTATAAAATCTTCGCAATGAAGACATTTCTGACTAATAAATAAAGTCGGACTAAACTGAACAACTTATAAACTTCGGACTAACAAAAAAGAAGGATTTTTTGGATAGAAATGGGCAGCAATTATATCACTTCGATGTATCTTTGTACTCATTGGTATTCAAATTTATAAATTTTCAAAAGGGATTCCATATCACAGAACCTTAAAATAAAGGTCGGGATACAGCAACCATAACATCACAAATATTAAGATCGACCTATAAAACTGGCATATAGCTCCGCTTAGTCTCATTTGACAACGCCCCCTATCGTCAGAGTCAGCAGCCTAACATGTTAGCCTATGGAATTTTACACACACAAACAAAAATCGTTAAAAATTCATTTTTCCACCCCGACGTACGTTATCACTAGCTCTTTCTTTGGAACCCTCATGTCTCATTGACTTTTGAAAGTTCACCCACCGTAATTTGATCAAAATAGGTTGCAAGCTCGCCATTGCCTATATAACACATGTGAAACAAGTCGAACTTTGGACTCAGTTTGCCAAGCGATTGTAAGGTTTTAGGTCAAGCATACGAAGGATAAGAAGCATGAATTATAATAGATCAGTTCTGATCGGTTCATTATGTCTATTTCAGCCAACCCCCCACCGTAATTTGTCCATTGAAGATAAGCAAACATTTTGCCGAGGTAAGCAAAAACATGAATATTCATGATCGCCATGGACTATTCGATTATTTACAGAGGGGTGCCATTATGCACCACACCAAACTCCCTACTTTAAGTCAAGTATTTAATTGTATTATGTAGTTTGGTAGGTTTATTTTAATAACTGTTTAATTATCAGATATCAATGATAGTTTAAAGATATGGAAAGTGTTCTTGTATTAATATTTATCAAAGCAATCTCACATACAAATTCACTACCAAGTGTCGTCTAATCCGCCGATTGTCGTCTGCTATATACGTCCAGCGAGCAAAAATGAGACAACCGGAGCAATATGGGAGCATTGATCCATCAAAAGTTCCCGATACAGGTGTTGTTAAATTGTTCAACCATATACCTAGCCTATCCGATATGCGTCGGGCTTTACAAGTATACTAATCGCGTTTATTTGGAGAGTGACATCGGCGCGGGCGTCAGCCCGAGCGCCTATCATCACTGGTAAATGCGATAAGTTTTATTTTCTTTTATGTACAATGTTTCGTTCGTAGAAAATCTACGAACCCCCTGTGAAGCTCTTTCATGAATATTTATATAGCATGGACCAAAATAGGCCAATGAGCGATGAGGAACCTGGAGATGATATTTGATTGGTTGAATCAACGTGATCGATCACCAAATAAGGTTAGTCTTATAAATCATGCATGAGAATACGCTCGTCACACATACGATACACATTATATGAATAATGATGAGTTGACCAGTGATGATAGGCGCTCGGGCTGACGCCCGCGCCGATGTCAGTCTCCATAACGCGATCAGTATATTTGCCATAAAGCCCGACGCATATCGGATAGGCTACCATAGACCCTGTATAGTCCTTTGCGTGGGTTAGGCTCTAGTGTTTATAAGTCATCAATAAGATTAATCAAATTTTTACTAAAAGCAGCACTTTAGATAATAAGCCTATACTGATCGTTGCATCGTTAATCTTTAACCAGCTCCAAGCCGACCTGCCACCGGTAGACGTCTCCTTCCGCATCTACACTAAGGTACCCAAATTAGATCGAGAGACCGTCAACATGGCCAAGTCCAGATGCGAGACCAGGCTTGAAATGATTCATGAGAGGCAACGCTCCGTCCCAACCAAACCCGTCAAGCAGAAGGTCAAGAGTCCATCAATTGGACCAGTGGCTCCTAGCCCGCCTTTAAGTGCCGTTGGCCATGTGACCAGCCCCAGTTCCGGTTCAGGCGAGACCTCTTCTTCTTTACAGGGACACCCGATGGTTACATCCAATTAGCCTGAAAAGCGACTGAGAAATGTGTGCGTCCTCTATGTACTTTACAATAGGATATTGGGCTATGGCCTGAAAACTAGGATCGGTGGTTTGTGTATCGTTCTATCTCTTTTTGTCACTCTCTGTCCCCGCTCTTTCCCATTCATTCTGTCTGTATCTGTCTATCTTTTTCACTTTCTCTATCAGTCTCTGTCTCTGATATAAGTCTACCTCTTTTGATGTGTCTACCTCTTCCCCCTCTCGCTGACTATGTGTACATCGTCTAATATCTTTTTCAGTTTTTGCCTAAATCTCCTCCCTCTTTCAAGTGACCATCCCCATGTGTTGGCTCAGTCAGTAGAGCGTCCGCCACACAACCGGGAGGTCGTGGGTTCGAACCCCGGCCGCGTCATACCAAAAGACGTTAAAAGATGGGAGTTGCTGCTACCTTGTTTGGCGTTCAACAAGGGATAGAGCAACGTCGATCTGGCGCTGCTCAGTGGCTGCCGGGCTCACGATCAATTGGGCAAAAAGAATTTCCGTTTCGGTTTAATAAAATTTGGAGTGGACTATTAGGCTATTATTATTAGGTGGTCTGTTATCAACAGACCACCTATTGATTTCGTCAGAATTTTCTTTCTTCTTTATTATTATTTCTTTATTTTTATTTATTTCTTCACTTTTTTGTGTGTCGGATAACGTAAGATTGGTTATGTCAATTTCTTTTAATTTTGGCACAGGCATAAGTCATTGTAATGAGACGTGACAGAAACATTTTCAAGGTCATTAGGTTATCGTGACGTCATCCAGGCGCCATTTTGTGAAATCACGTTATCCATCATATCTTCATGATGCATCAGCAAAGGTCATTCATATTCATATCACATATACTTCAGGTCAAAGGTCAACAGGTCATGTCATCAAAGGTCACATAAAGGTCATGACGCGCGCGTACGTGCGCGTCAAAATTTTAACTTGCTCAAAATCACTTAACTATTAAACGAGAGTACGAATCAGGTCATTTTAAGCATTTCAAAATTTTCCGTCCGTACGTGTCCCCGCGCGCGTTGTGCGCGCTCACAGCGCGCGGAAAAGGTCAAATTAAAATTGTTTACATGATTTGGATTCCTCTTAACGTAATTGACAATTTACATTAATTTCAGTCACTCTTCATATTTCATAAGGCCGTGAGCGTGCGTCAAAGTTCAAAATCCGCGCGTACTGCTATGGGCGATATAATGCAAATTTGATCAAAAACATGCCATTTTAAAAATCGAAATAGCTCTTCAGATAGTCCATTGACCCCCAATTTTTATATCATGGTTGGAGAAAGCATGAGTTGGAGATATGATTTCATACCACCCTGACTCGTACAAAGTGAAACAAAGTCATCATATTGGCATCTAAACTCAAACAAATGTATTTTGTTGATGACGTCATTTTTGTCTTTGTTTACTTGAGATTATCTCACTTATCGGTGATCAATTTTCTCCCAGATTTTGATATGTTGTAGCTGAGATAATTCTCTATCAAAAATTTGCCATTCATTTTTCATTTAGATGACTTCATCATAGTTAAATATTCGATTTAAGACGACAACGCATAATTTGTCATATTTGCGTGTTATGTCTATGGGAGGTCACTTTTTTCAAAACATGAATCTGCATGACAAGGTGTTTTGACCAGTATCTCGGTTGTTATTCAACAGTTTTCTCCCAAATTTTAGTATGTTGTAGCTGAGACTATTTGCTATTTAAATATTTCCTCATTTTTTTCAATCAGATGTCAGGATCATGCTTATGGTCATCATCATCATTAACATTATCGTTTTTATCATCATATAACATTATCATTATCATCATCATCACCTTTACTATCATGATTATCATCATGTTCATCATGATCATCATTGTTTACATGTCTATATAACTTCTCCCATTCTCAAATCTGTCATAAGACATAGACAGACCACCTTATTCGTCTTCGTGACGAATTAAATTCTAGTTATTATTATTATTATTATGTTTTCTCCAACTCTCTGTGACTATATATTGTAAGCATGTAGCCTTGTGTCTAAGGATATAAAAATGTTAGCAATTGAAATTGACGAGAAAAATTTGTCATTATTTTGATTGCGGATATACTAAGGTTTTGATGTCCTTTGGTTTATTTCCATCTGTGTTGTATGGGTGAAGAGCGAAAGGTTTAAGTTTCAGGAGAGAATAGGTTACATGTAGATCTCCTAATTTATACATTTAGAGGTGTTGTGGGCTAGTGGATAAGTCACCCGTCTGCAAAGCACAAGGTACGGGGTTCAAGTGCCGCCGCGGCACTAATGTCCTTTGGCAAGACGTAAATCACATATGTATGTTGGTACACTAACACATTTTATTATACAAATGCAAATACCATGGGTTTAGACAATTTTCAAATTTTCACAAAAGATATACGGTATTTCTTCAATGTTTTCGTAAGTAAAGGTTATCCTGCATGAATGCTTTGTATAAATTTTGTTAGATAATTTGAAATAAAATTAGAAAAATTGAAAAAGGGTAAGAAAATTTAAGATATTTTTGGGGGAAAATGGAGCATGGTACATAAATGAACAAAGCAGGAGAAAGTAGTAAAAGTTAGATAGCTTGAAAAGCCTGTAATACTACTATTACTACTTGTAATAACAGCATGCGTTTGTTGTTTTTAATCCCTTGAAACAGGTTCGTTTGTCAGTACTGATGGGGACGAAGATATTCCAAGTCTGATGTCGAACCCTCCTGATGCTGTTGCTGCTGTTGGTACGGGGCCGGCTGAGTCTAATCCTCGAGGTTCGCGATCTCCTGAACCAGAGGTTAAGCTACACTAGACTCCTCCAAGCGCCATATCTATCACTTTCTGAAAAGCACCCTTAACAAGGATCGTAGTCAAGAGTAGGTTCGATACCACTGACAGGGAAACCGTTCTAACATCTCCGATTAATAGACCCTTAACAGGCATTTTATATCGAAAATAATATCGCTAGTGACATTCGTTTGTCTCGCAATGTATGGTCAACAAGGGAGCAAAAATTCACGTTTCGTGCACCGGTGCAACATTATATATTTTATATCTTGCATGATGTTGTACACCCTGTTCGAGGAATGATTCTTCCTAGACTTTCTAGCCTAAAAGGGAAAAAATCAAGCCAATTCAGCTGTTATTCTGACTAGAATAGATAAATGCACTAAATTTCAAGTCGTTTAATATTTTTATCATTCTTTACAACCTAAATTAGGAAGATGATTGATTAGATTTACATATTTAATACAACCGCCCTTTCTATGAAAATCGGATAACAGGAAGATGTGTAGTGCGCGCCCTTTTTACGAGTTTTCGTGTACGCGGATGATGTAACATGCCCCAAACCTTCGACCCCCACCCAGTAATTTTGAAGGTGATTTTGTATGTATGTGTGTGGGCTGGGGTGTGTGTGTGTGCGTGTGTGTGTGTTTGTGTGTCAAAAGCATTTTTTAAAACAAATTTGGTACTTCTTACATGATAGTATTTCAAACAAAGACACTTAGACAAGTACTAGATAGACAATCGCAGAAAAATGAAACAAACCTATGGCAAATTGTATGAAACTGATTGAATTATTCATCCAATCACATGTGACATTAAGAAAGTAGTAAAAGCGAGAGTTACTAAGGGAAAAGAAAGTTAATTTCTACGAGAAGTTGACAAATTGATTTATCATGATATTATTTAAACAGTTTCTTTATGAATGTCAATCATTTCCCAAGCGTAGATATGAATTGTAAGAAATAGGGGAAAAATGAGGGACTGGGCCATTGATTCATTTGGAGAAAAACAACTGAAAAAGGAAAAAAGATGAATAGAAGAAGATAAACAGAAAAAGAAGAATAAGTAGAAAATAAGTTTCAAAGTCTCTTGTTTACCTTTTCAATCTGTCTCTGTTGAAGGGTGTTTTTTCCTAATGTATGGAAGACCGCACGAAAAAAGCCTATTTTAAAACCTGGAAATAAACAAAATGCCGAAAATTATCGACCTATTTCCTTACTGTCAATTCTATCTAAGACATTAGATATTATTGTACGTACTGCACGTCAATAATATCTATTAGGGCACAATATTCTCACCGATCGACAATTTGGGTTCCGCCCCAATCACTCATTTGAAACTGCACTACTCTGTATGACAGATAATTGGGCCAAATACGTATATCTGGGGACAAATTCTTCTGTCAAAAGAATTCGCAAAGACAATTTTTCATAAACTAGCAGATACGTTTTTCTTTTTCGGTGCAGCCCTATCGGTACATGAGTCTACAGTTCCTGAAATTGAATCAAAGTTGAATCAAGCATTATATGAAGTTTATTCTTGGACTCAGAAGAATAATTTCGTACTAAATACAAACAAAACTTAGGTTATGATCACAAGATCAAGACAGAAAATTCAAACTCTTATTTGAAGGCACTCAAGAGAAAAGTATGATATTGGACGAAATGGGGGCAAAATACTTTCCCCTTATGGTTACTATCTGGTAGGTTATATCTCTTATCCCAAGGCAATATATTTTTCATTCGATTGAACTGTGTTTATTTAATCGGTCACACATATTTGAATTTGTTTGTTTTGTTGTTGGTTGTTGTGTTGTTGTTTTTTCCATATTTAGTCTTTTTGTTTTTAGAAGGGCCTCGCAAATGCAGACACTCACCCTCGCCCTTCATACAGTTGCATTAAAAAAATTATCTCCCCCTTCTTATTTTGTTATTTTGTGTGTTTAAACTCTCATGTATTTATTTTGTTAATAATTTTGGGTGGTGAATATATATAGTGTATATGTAGAGCGCTTAATACCGACATCGTAGATGCATTAAGCGCTATATAAATCGGAATTATTATTATAATTATGCTGGAAATAAGGAAAATAAAAATTGAAGACAAAATGGGATCAAAGTTTGTTTGTTTTTATGATTTTATTTCTGCATTTGTCAACATAATTAAGCGTAATATACAAACTAAGCACATACATATTAGTATCAAAAGTTAAAATACATATATAATCATACCGTAATATAATTCAAATAAATAATTTTACTTAAAAAACAAACAGTTGACAAATCATTTCAACATTGAAAAACGCAGGAGAGAGCCATCTTAAGCTAGAGCTTGAAAGTAATTGCGACCCCAGGAAAGGAACCTTTATGGGCGACCAAACGTATACAACATATAGTATATTCCGCAATAAATCAATTGTAACATCCACATAATGAAGTAAATTTTTTTTCTTCACGCATAACATAAAATGCGTTAAGTAAAAAAGGGGAAACAATGTATTAAGTGTATGTTTTTCCTGAAACTTGTTTTGTATGTGCACGTACAAGTGTGTTCATGTACATGTTTTGGAGCGCTCATTAAATTATGACTTGTAAGCTGATAACAATCTATGCTACATCCTAAGAAGAATATATCGTAGTACATGATTTAACAGTAGTTGGGAGACTATTCCCTATGTCAGGGCCGTTGTGTCGGATATATTGATGCGAAATGAGCAATTAGGGGTTATATCAAATGAAAGTTCTGAGAGTTTCGTGTCGGATAAGAATGGATTGTGTTTTTAAAACTAAAAGGGTGTGGAATGCCGGAGGAAGTAGGTTATTGGAGTATTTGAACATAAAGATTGCAACCTGCAAAGTATTGATATAAAAATATACTGTTAATGTTTTCAGTGAATTGAGACAGACGTCCCTTTCCCGAGTATCAACTTAACATTTTGCATGAGGACAAAGCGAGTGATCAACATATATATATATATATATAGTTTTGTTTGTCGGTTTAAAAATATGTATATATACACCGAAAAGTGAAATTATCAAAAAAAAAAAAAATATAAAACAGGTTATTAACAAACATCCTTTATCCTTCCCGTCAGAAAAAAGTAATTCGAAGATATAATTTTCATTATATCCATATGATTTTTCTTTGGCACGTCCTTAGCCCTTTTGGTTGTTTTATTTGTTTAACTGTTCAGAAAGCACCTGCTTGTATTAAGTAAGCAACTAAAGAATATACGGCTTTCAGTCCTCTCCGAGAGACTTGGTAATGAGGATTAATACCGTAAGGCTTACCAAAGGACACAAGCGCATCGACTTGGTTTCGAACCCAGGACCATCTAGCTATCTCGCCTCCATTTAAAGGGGCAATCAAATACTTTTAAAATGTTCATTTCTATGGAAACAGAAAATCGACAGATACAGAATGTTTGAAATAAATCGGACAAATAACAAGAGAGCTATGAATGCTTACATATTGCGATCATACAGCTGTGCGAATCTCAATTTGGTAATTTTTGTCAGTGGTTTGTGATGTAGTCATGATCATCTCTCCCCTTTTTCGTGCACAAAAATATCATTAATCTCTGTTTTTTTCCTCATAGCCTTCTCACTTTTAAAATATATAATGGATAGCATATTATTTTAGGTCCTCACAAAAAAAAAGACCTGCTAAGTCATATAATTATTATGCAAAAGAAGTGGCGATTTTTGTGTGTTGAAACGGGAAGGTTATTCGGCACTACGTCTCAGTATTACAGATTCAACCAATTTGATTACAACTTTCAAAAAGTCATAGCTTTCTCATTTTTTGTCCAATTTCATTCAAACCTTCACCAGTCTGCTTCTCCTATTTCTCTGCTTTCTTCCACATTGTTGTCTAATAATGTTTGAAATTCTTAAATGATCCCAAGCAGATGACGTCGCCGTGGTTCAATGGACCTTTACACAAAATTGCGTGTATTCCAAGGCGACTAATAATGCAATATTGGAGGGGAATGTTTCACGAGGGATCAGTTTCTGATCACTCTTTAGGGTGCTGCGATTGATTCATGTATGAATGAAGCATGGCAAAACTTAATATACAATTGAATTATTCTGTTATCAACTTGCTTTCTACAGGTTCATGGAAAGTGGGTAACAAAAAAAAAACAAAAAAAGGAGCTCGATCACCTTTATGATTCCCAAAACGATAATCAGCATGGTCAGTTTGTGTTGAAGGTTTTGGTGTGTGCTTTCAATTAAGGCTGTCAATATTCATGTAGGCTCAATTCACTCATTTCTACTTTATCTTATGTTTAATACTATATTTAAAGACCGTCAATACTACTGGGTCAGAAGGGATTAGACCACACAGCAAGGTCACTGACAGGTGGCTATCTCATAAACTCAGCTCTCAACTAACATAAGAAATAGAGCATCATGGGGGACCAACATGCACCGATTGGGGAAGTTTTCTATATAGAGGGAGCAAGTAGCTACAAGTAGGACAGTGGGGCTATAAAACATCCTATGAAAAGGGCAAGAGTTTATTTAAAAAATAGGATAAAAGTCCAGTTCCCTTTGGTGCTTGTAAATCCCAGTTACTTTGTTTGCATAAGTGGCAAAGATACGTCACAAAGTTGCCAATTTGTGTTTGACTGTCATCGCACCTTCAAAAATTCATAACTTTCTTATTTTTCATCGGCTTTTGTTCAAACTTCCACTGACTTGTTTCTCTCGTTTTTCTGCTTCTATCAGGGTGGACTAGATCAGAGTATTAACATATAATGAATAAAGGCAGAAAAGGACATTTTAATACAGAGTTCCTGCAAAACATTAAATAATACAGGTATTTCCTTTATACAATATCACTGGGACATAATCTTCATCTACAATTCATTTAATCAAAATGGGTTATGAAGTAATTAGCTCATTATTTCTGACTAAGCAGTAATTCATTCAAGAGACATGCGCGATTTACAAGTGCCCACTATTATGATGATAATGACGACGGTGATGATGATGAGGATGATGAGGATTATGATGACAG